AAATCAGCCCCCAAATCTGCAATCTTCAATTATGAAACATTTTTTAATTAATCCCCTCTAAATTAGCCCCCAAGAGCCGATTCAGGAAAGGACTGGTAGGACCGATCCAGGAGGGACCTGGTCTAACACTTTCACAGGTGACATCACATCATCTAATATACATAAGTGCTGGGAAACATGCTTATTTAGCCATTTCTGACTGAGATGGCTGCTCAATACTCATGCTCAACGTGACAATGATGAAACCCAAACAAATCCTAATAATCATTATATTTCACCAAAACAACATATATCATCAGACCAAAATAGAAATGAGAAATCTGGAACTTTGGAGTATCATACACATGGGTTGTGTTCAAGATATATGGTCGTAAGCTTCTCCTTTGAACCAGCTACAGCAACATCAATGCCTTCCAAGGATGTTATTTGGTTATCATTAAGCCACAAGTCTTCCAACCTGCATAATATAAGTGTGAACACATTTTAACAATAGACATCAACATATTTTGAAAAGGTAAACAAAAAAATAGGACCTTGTCAGCTTCTCAATGCCATTAATTGCAGTTAGTTTGTTCGAAGAGACATCAAGGACACGAAGATTTTCAAGAGTAGATAAGCCTTCCATCTTAGCAATACCATTATGGCTCAAATATAATTCTTCTAGCCCAACACATTCCTAAGAAGCACAACAACCATGGGATCAATTTCATAATGCAATACATGGTTAAAAGGAGCAACATGGAGATCAGATAAATACCTGGAATCCTAACATTGATGTCAGTCGATTGCTCTGCAAACTTATTTTTCTTATGCATTTCAACCCACACAAATTCACAGCTCTAATACGATTTCTTCCTAACCACAACTCTTCTAAAATTTTCAAGTTTTCCAAGTTCTCCATCACCTGAAATTAAGAACTGGGTGAAAATATAAGCTTAAAAAGCCTAAAACAAGGAACACGGGAAACAATACGTAATTTTCAGCAATATCATCAAATTGAAGCATGATAGGGCAGCAGCAGACAAAAGCATATCCATGCAGAAAACAAACCATCTCAATTGAACTAGCTTACAAATTGGTCTCTATAACAAGACGACCAATCTAGTGCAAGTTTCTGATAATTCAAATTCTCTAACCCAAGAAGAGAAAACCTCACCCTAAATCGGTTTGAACCAAGTTCAAGAATTTGTAAGGCTTGAAGACGTTCAAGCTCCTCCATCTTTCTCACTTCATTCTTGGAAACATAGAGCTCTTTGAGTGTATTTGAGACCTTTGATAAACCATTCAACGAAGGTATCTCATTGAAGGACACATCAAACACAAGAAGATCCTTGAAAATGGTTGCATCGGGTATTTTAGACAATTTATTGTCTCTCAGAACAAGTTCCTGCAGAAACAAAAAAGATTAAAAAATAAAATAAAAATCAAAGAACAAAATGCAATGAATTCAAAACTAGCCCGCATACTTGAATAAAACGTTTAAAAGACTTCATGCAAACAAAACTTTTAATTCATTTAATATCAAGTATGGAACCTATATTTTATTGTAATTCTCATCATGGTGAAAGATTTGTTCTGAACTTCTAACGAAATACCTCTCTTTTAAAATCCCTATGATCATTAGGTGAAACAGCATGGTGTGCATTACTTTCACGATAAGTATATTGCACTTATGTAATCTTACCGAAGATTCTTTGTGTTACTAACTCAGTTAACATATCTGTATTCCGCACATTTATTCGAGGAAACCAAATAAATGCATAACTAAGTGATGGGGACATCAATGCATGGAAGGTTTATCATAGAAGAGGCCGTAGATCGACGGTCACGATTGAGTCATTATATTATTAGTTGTTGTGTGTGTTGTAAGTGATTTAATTTAGTTTATGAACTTTTCCTTAATGTTATGTTGTAAGCTCAAAGACATTTGAGTCTTTTTTGTCTTTTCATGTGGTGGAGCCTATATATATGGCTCTCTCCCCCCTGCAAGATGATGATGATTATTTTTGAATGAATTCTGATTTCAACCCTCTTCTCTTGAGTGAGAGTGAGAGTGAGTGTGGTGGAGAGGTGAAGCCTTAGGAGAAGGCAAATGAAGTACCCAACAGCTCATTAAGGCGAGCTCTTGGTTTTCCCCTTTATCTCTTCCCCTTTCCCTCCTTCTTCTTCCTCCCTAACCGCCGGTCAACCCCACTTCCCCTCCCTTTCTCGGCCAGCCACACCTTCCCCTTCCACCGCCCACGGCAAGTCCACCACCACCACCACCCCATCCACAACCATCCAACAACAACAACATCAAGCCTTTGTCCCACAATGTGGGATCGGCTACATGAATCCTTTTTCTTCATTGTATCCTGTTAAACGTCAAATTCTCGTTTAAATCTAATAAAGAAAGATCATTTCTAATATTTTCTGACCAAGTCTTTTTAGGTCTACCTCTATCTTTCTTAACATAAGTCAAATCTAATACATCTACTTTCCTAACTGGGTCATCGGAAGGCCGTCATTTTATGTGACCAAACCATCTAAGGCGACTCTTTCTAATTTTATCTTCCACTGGAGCTACTCCAACCATCCAACATAAGTTAAAATCGTATGATCTAGATTAGTGCCTACACTCTAAATTGATTTGATGGTCACAAAGGGAGTCGGGTGCCCATTGAACTATTTTTCTGAAAAGACTAGAAGATTTTGCCAAAGAAAGGCTTTAATTAAGGATTCTTGGGCAGCTGGCGAGTAAACAACCAAATTGATGGGCAAAAATGATCTTTGTAGCTGTAAGCACCTCAACATATCTCTAGACATTAGTCATAATAACGAACGCAACTTCCATCTAACCATTCAATGAAGAGAAAAACTCACTTTTATAATAATAAGAAATAAAAGGAAGTGCGACGGCAAAGCAACTAGAGATGTTAGTTCAATCCCAATGTCTAAAACTATTTTGGGGAGCAAGCATAGGTAACAAAATACTGACGAGTGGCACACAAGTTCTAAAAGGTTGGAAGATCTAGCCAAAAGAAGGTGATAGACATTGAAAAATCATTAAGTAAAAATGGTCCTATGAAAAAATCATAAATACCCAAATCTCTGGTGAAAAAGGTACCTCTATACCAGTACTTTAATGATTAAAATAAAACACTTTTCAGTAAATTTCTACAATTTTCTATTCCACCTTTCCTTTTAATACATTTTTTCTAATTATTATTCTTGATCCCTAGAATGTAAGCTAACAGCCGCACCACTAACAGTCTATAAAAGCCTCCATTTTTCAAAAAACCAAGACCTTACATAATTTATATATAGATTACTTCAAACATGTAACCAAAAGGAACAAACAATTTTATGTACAATAATTTATATAGGACCATCCATTGGAATTTCCATAATAGTAAGCCTTACAAACTAAATAAGAAAAAATAATTTTACAGCGCAAGTTCCAGGTACACTCTTGTCAATTTCTTTCCCCCAAAAAAATCATCAATAGAAGGAATGCATACTTGCAAGCCAGAAATTGTACTCCACCCGCATAAAGGCTCGATGCCCTCGTCATCGAAGAGATTCTGCCGCAATGAAAGCTTCTTAAGCTGCGTGAGGAGACCAATCCGATGGTCCAGCTTAGAAAGCCGATTGGCCGTGAGATCCAACTCCACGAGGCCCTCCGGAATATCAACTTCGCTGAGATCATGGAGCTGAAAGCTCGTGAGATCGAGGCAGCGACCTAAGCTGTTTCCTTCCACCGCAGTCTCATCGTCTCTGTTTCCATTGTCGTTATCCGATTCTCCAACTGAGTCCTCCATTTCAGATTTGGGGAAGAAAAGATTGGAGATTTCGAAGATGTAGTAGAAGGAAGCGAGGAAAAATATTAGAAATAAACGATTTATCTAATAGATTTTGGATTTATTCTGGTTCGGTTCTTGTTCATGCTTTTGCACGTAGAATAATTTTGGGATTTATTCATTTTTTATGTTTTTTTATAGTGTTATAAACATCTTTCTTTTTCAAGCTTGCATTGAAAAATAGAGAGAAATTATTAACTGCGGAGTCCAAACAAAAAAATCATTTGGATTTATTAAAAATTTATCGAGTATTTATAAATACTCAACAAATAAGCAAATATTCACAAAATTTTTTAGTATACTCAGCAAATTTGGACGGCTCTTCCCATTCGGACACCGCACGAAGGGGGAATTTATGTGAAATGATCTTCTTTTTTATTTTATTGAGAAAATATATTCAAAAATTAATTTTAGATTAAATTATTCATGTTTTTTTTACCATGAACCAATTATTTGAAGGCCACTGTGATAGATATGGATACGAACGAGATTCAAACATTATTCGAGAAGTGTTTAAACATTTGTTTAAACCTTATTCAAAAATAAAGTTTCAATATCATTCATATCATATTTGAAGAATGTTCGATTATGGTTCAAGTAAAATCTAACAATAATAATACAACTATAGTAGTAGTTGGTACAACGTTGTGAGGTCATGACTGGTATGATACAAATGATTATAAGAAAGATGCAATATATAAATTTAGAAACTATGAAACGACATAGATCTATCACATTAAGTATGACACAACAATTTGTTTAGCATATACAATTACACAAGGAAGTAATTCAGAAATTATGGCACAACAAAAAGATATCGCACTTGTATGACATGACATATTGTAAGATGAACATCATTATATTAAATCTAATATATATACATCATATTGACAAACATTATATACTTAATGTTTTTATAGCAAAGATTACATTTGATCCAAGCAGTTATAATATTCTTACTATAATAAAAAGAGAAAACCATTTTTTTTAAAAAAAGTTGATGTTACTAATTCTAACATGCTCTAATGTTATGCAAGTGATGCATGTGATCTTAATCTAATAATAAATGTTGCCATAATGATGCATGCAATCTTAGGTCATCTCCAACCAAAAAACTCATATTTACACACCAAAATACAGTAACTCGTCTCTAGCCAAACTCTTTTTCATAACATATATATACCATATATATCCTTTCTCCAACAAAACTCCAGCTAAATAAAATGGCATTTGTGAACAGTGTGACACAAATATTTGACGTCACACTGTTCACCTGGCTCAAAATATTGCTGAATCTGGCATTTGGTTGGAGCTCACGATGACTTCAAACGATCGTTTGGTGTTCAGCTGGAAATGACCTCACAAAGCATCATTTAAAGATTATGCAAGTCAACTAAAAATCGAGTTATCTCAATAACCTAATCCAATAATAAATTCAACAAATGAATCATTATTTGTGAATAAGGCTGTCACATGTAACTATGATAGCAACTCATCACACCCTTGTGTCCAACAATATTTATACTAATAAGTGATCATCGCTAACTCATTCGGGTCTTAAGTAAGCTTTCATGGATACTATAAATAATATAAATTCTCATATTTCAATCAATATTTGTTTCCATATTATTATTTAATTTTGCATTATCTATCCACTTTGACTTTACTTTGCCTACTTAACTCTTATCAAGGCATGATAAAGAATTGGTCCACTCGAGATGACAAACTTTTTTTTGACAAAAAGCCTAACTTTAGCATCACATTTGTCAAATACTAATCAATGCAAAATTAAAGAAATG